TATATATATATATATATATATATATATATATATATATATATATATATATATATATATATATATATATATATATATATATATATATATATATATAAATATATATATATATATATAACATTAATGTATTGTATGTATCTTCATTTTCAATGGGAAATAATGTAATCGAAAAGTTATAAATGCAACAACTGAATGTGTATATACTCACCTTTGATGGTAAACAATGTGATATAACGCACTTCGATACTTGTTCTATTTATTCAGTTCCTATAGTGTGCGTTTATTTCTTCCGCCTCTTTTTCGACATCTTTTGAATATTCACAGCCTTCACGGGCTTCTCTTCTTCAGTCTCGTCAATTTTTCTCTTCTTAGCAACAGAGCCAGGCAAAGTGCGAGAATTTGTATTCGTGACGCAGCACAAGTAGTACTGCACACCCACACTCATTAGCATGTCTGCCCACACCTCTTGTTTCTCTGACATGCGGTCGTTAGGTGATTTCACCTCCACCATCTTGCACGCCAGTAGGTCTTCATTCCACAATGTCAGGTCGGGTAAGCCACCCCGCCTGCGAATTTTATTGGTGAACACGATGTATGCGAAGATGAGTAGTGCGACTAAATGTGTGAGTACGAGGGTATCGGCGTTGTATCTACGAGAAGATTAAAGATATCTATGGGGAACTGTGTGTATTGGGTTGCACGTATTCCAATAAATACCATATTACGATCTAAAAGCAGCCTACATGGAAGGTACATATTTCAAATAGACACTTATTCATACCTCGGTGTGTATTGTATGTGTGGAATAGGCGCAGACGTGGATCTACAACTAAGGCTTCAGTACATACTATATTCAATGTTTGTGGTAAAACCCTTTTCAAAACCCTGAAACAAAACGACGGGATTTCATATAATTTGCACGCAACAAACTACAAACTACCCGCAATGCTAATCTGGTATGAGAAAACGACAAGGTATACGACAATAGTAGTAAACTCCGAAGATAGGCTTGGATAAAGGCTCGACAAGCAACTTCCCAGCGCCCCTCCCCCCCCACCCACATATCATAAGACTCACCGTCCCCGCAGATCCATAGCCAAGATACGGCATATACTGCTAAGAATGGGACCTCCCAAACACATTGCGATGCCACTGAGAGTTTCGACCGTCAGATGCTCTCTGTCCCACTGCATGCCGACCACCAACACCCCATAGTGATCGTACCAGCTCTTGTGGACCATATCATATATCTGCCCGGGCGTACGGGAAGCTGTATGGATGAGAGCATGTAGTGATAGTTAGAGGTATAAGTATACGTCGTCGTGCAATGCGGAGAAGGTACCTGAGGGCTTAATGTTGGAGCAGGTTGGTGCAGTGTCGAGTCGTTCACACCATAACAATAGTAGACCAGATGATCTGCACTAGTGCGAGGGACTGCTTATGGAACAGACTAGCAATACGTGCGTTTATTTGCCGATCACTACTTATTCCATCGCGAACCCAACGGTAGCAGTATCATGTCATGAAGTCCCCTCTCTCGCCGCTAGAAGGATCGAGCGTATATCAAGCGGACATAGCAGCGCACACACGGTAAGTACCAGGAATCGGCGACATACACCAACTACTACGTTGTATACTACAGCTCGGCAAGGATACAGGAGTGATATTTCCGTTTCCTCACTAGAGTTTTGTGCGAAATTGTATCAGTATATGGAAGGTTGTACCGCCCTGTAGCTCTACGGATCGACTATATACCACGCACAATTAAACATCTTAAAGAGATCGAAAGCCTCTATGAGCTCTAGTAATTGGTCGAGTTCCACACTACGCTCACTTCAAATGATACGCGCTTCAACTGTAAGGTGTTGGGACTGTTTATTCATAAATCCGGCTATACATGGCATCACCGATTGATATACAGGTATTGCACTGCTGTTATCGCTGGAGGGACAGGTCTGTACTGTAAAACCCAAGAGCCCCGCTCAAAGGATACTATAGACAAATAGGGCTACAAATTGCAGTAAGTTTGAAAGAACATGTCAATGGAACTCGATATGGTATACGCGGTTGCTTACCAATCTGGATCAGCCGGTCCTCGATCTCCACCCGGCGCGTGATATAGAAGTCGTCGCTAAACATGTCCAGCGGCGCGATCTGGAACTCAGTGACGAATACACCAGGGATGTCCAAGAAGATACAGTCCCACATCAGCAGCGCAAACAGCGACGACACGACAGACCCCTCGGCATGCACGCCCTTCCAGCCACGGCTTTGTTTGGGGCTATCGGGAGACTAGATGTCCGTACACGTGAGGGCATACAGACATCAAAGAAGGTCGTTTAGAGTGTGCGTATCGGGGGTGAGGAGGCAAGATGCAAACACCTAGGAGTATGGACGCAAATGGGAGTGCAAATACACATACACATCAGAATAAGTCCTGCAAAGCATAGTCTTCTAAATGAACGTCTAAAAGTGTGATTTTCCGGCGTGAGAAATGGAGCGCGGTATATCCGGAGTCACAATCTGACCTGCGATTGCGCATACAACACTATACTAGATTCTCAATCGACGGTTCGCCACCCATCCCACCCAACACTGTGTACCGAACATCCCGGCACGGTAGTGAGGCCCCTGGCCCATCGGATATAAACTATCGCGGTTTGTCTCTTTGTTTAGTACAGCCAAATTGGGATTAGGGTATGCAGGCGTACTTGAACATTCTGCCATTTCTATCCTGAACAAGTTCAACATCACCGTCTGTTCCTACCGAAATCTAATTGATCACCCCAACTTGATGTGCATGCCTCTCTACACCTGCAATGTACTTATTCTTCTTACCTTGCCCATGTTGAATATCTCCCCCACCACAACATCGCACACAACATACACACCGTCTCATTCACCGGCCGTTCGGGAGAATGCCTGAACCGTTTGCGGACATAGGTGCCAGGCTTAGGCTTGAATGGCGACCTGCTGTGTTTCGCACTCCCATTGTGCGTATCCGATGCGCGGTTGAAGATGTCGTTATGCTGCTCCACTGACGCTGTGAGGACCTTCAGGTGGTATAGCGTGCGAGTATAAGAAAGTATGTGGAGAATAGCATCGTCGTCCTATATTTAAAGTATGCCGAGACAAGCACCCACATCAGACTGCGCCAACATACGCCTCACAAACAAACAACAAAAACGACACACACACATACACAACTGGCTTATGTGCACACGTCCACACACACATACAGTTTGTGTATGTGCACACGTCTTCACAGGTTGTGTATGTGCACACGTCTTCACAGGTAGTGTATGTGCACACATCTACACACCTCTAAGGCATAGTCTTCTACGCTGTAGAATCTCGTAGAGCTGGCGCCGCCATCCGCATCTACAGAGTGGTTGATGTAAACCGATTTCCTTCCTGTAAAACAGCATGAGTGGATGATAGGCTTAATGTGAGATGTACCGTCGCAAGGTGTCTATGTCTCTCAACTATACGGTTATGACAACTGTAAATGGTGAAAAGTCCGTTCATGGTTTGCAATTGGTAGCCTCTCGCACCACCCACAGAAACACCTACCAGTGATCTCCTCGGAGTACTTCCGACCGTCTACAAACACAACTGGCGGGGGGCACAGAGGCTCTCGTCTCAGCGACGTCACCAGCATAGCCTTGTACAGCGCCACAGCCTCCCCATCTGTGAGCGTCTCGTCTGGCAGTGTAGGTAGCGTGTGCAGCAGTATCTGCGACGGCGGCAGTTGCGCAGCGGCAGCGCTTTCGTGTTGCGCCAGCACTTTCGTGTGGGATGGCGTGTTCATGTGTGATACAGACGGCGGTTGTTGTAGTAGTGCCATGGCTAGTCCAGACGGACTTCGCTTCACCTCCACAGTCGTGGCCCTTGCCGCACCTGTCGGTGGCGACGTCTGGCGAGTACACACCACCGCATCGGTGTGGATAGGCGCGGGTATCGTAGGATCACTCAGTACGGCGCCACTCCCGTGTGACGCGCGTGTCGCCTGGGGCGAAGTAGGTACGGTGGTTGTGCCCATTGACGAATCTTCGCAACTCGATGACTCACAACTCACAGTTAGCGGTGTATCGTCTGTGACAGGGCGTGGGGGTGTGGTGCTGCTTGCGTTCTTATCGGCAGCGGTAGCTCGCACAAGCTTCGCATCGACGCCCGTGACTGCGTCAGGCGGAGATAGAGCTGTGCGTGTCATGCCTGCCATCGGCTCCTCCTTGTTGTATGTAGCAATGGGACAGACCTTCAACTCGCCGTGCGTGTTCAGCATCAGGGCGTCCTCCCTTTGGTCGTGCTTGTCATGCGTGCTTGCGACTGACTCGTTCTTGACCTCGTTGTGGGTGCGTTTGATCGGTTCGTCATTGGTCTTAGTGTGCGGGTTGTTATTCGGCTCCTCCTTCTTACAGGCACGCTTGGGCGAATCCTTAAACTCGTCGTGTGTGGTTATAACTGGCTCATCCTTGATGCCAGTAGCCGTGGGTAAATCCATAGAATCGTTCTGTCCGGATGTGTCGCTGTCGGCAGACTCGCGGTTGCCAGGCAACGGCTCCGCTACCAATTCCTCCTTAGTTACTGTGCCGCAGTTTGGCGAGCCCGCAACTACCATAACACCCAGAGTGTCTTCACTGCCTGAGCGTGCTGTCACCGTGTACGCCGTCGCGCCGGTGTGTGGTGGGGATAGCGTCTCGGACTGCACCTCGCCCTCGGGTTTTGGGCTCACCTGAAGTCCGTCTATACATTCGTTATCTGCGTCACCACCACACGACAGACAGTTGAGGTGCGCCACATCCCTGGACTCTCGCAGAGTACTGCGGCTAAGCAGATTGTATCCTGCCCCATTCGGGTATAACTGACCCGTGTCCCCGTCTAGTAGGGGCAACCTACGTGGCGGAGTATTACATAGACCGTTCGTAGTGGCGAGGTCTGTAACGGGAGCTGTGGCTACGTCTTGGCTTGACCCTGCCTCTGTAATGCCGCTAAGCGCCGATGAATCGTTCAGTCTTTGGTGCGATGCGGTGTGGTGTTTTGGTTTCCAATAGTTGTTGTTGTGCTGTCTGCTCTTCGCGAGACTCAGACGATTCCTTGTTGCCCGTCTCGGCCCTCGGGCTTTGGCCGGTACACCGACTGTGCTGCCTAGCAATATTATGTCATCGTCTATGTGTAGATTCGTACTTAGTTTGGCTGTCTGTATATTCGTACTTAATCTGCCCGTCCCGCTTGCCCTACTTGGTGCGCCACCCAACCCCGTGGGGGCGTATGCGAATGCTCCGTCAGATAAATCGCTATCGATATCTATGCAGACAGTTGCCGATGCACGTTCAGCGTTGTTCGTCTCCAGACGCGCGTTAGTTGCACTGGTATCGAATGTTTCCGGATTAACACTATCACAGTCTATATCAATGTATTTCACCGCCCTGACTGTACTTTCTTCACCTCCTCCCACACTACGCCCCCGCCTGTCCTTATTCACACTCGCATCCCCTCTCACCCTCCCCCCACTTCGTGCATGCGTTCGTCCAGGGGTGTACCGTGTGTGGACGATATCGTCATCACTGCTGTCCTGAGTCTGCGACCGCCGCTTGCCCTCTGTCTGGTCTCCTTTCCTCACACTCCTTCGACAAAGTGGCTCCGAAGCCGCACTTCGCTGGCTTTGCGGACGGGATTGTTGGCCTTCCACGTCTTTACTTGTCAAACACAGTGAGCGCATTTCGCCCCCGCCTGGTGTATATATGACACTCTGTGCGCGCGGCTGGGCTTGTAGACGCACCGGAGTGTGTGGCTGCGTGAAGATCTGCGAGCGTACCTGTCGCCGCACCTGAGACCGCGGGGACACGTCTACGCGTGGTGCGCTGCGCTTGTGGTGCGGTCGAATACCCTCCAGAATGGCGTCAGAAATGTCGTCCTGGTGAACTTTGCTCTTCAGCAGTCTAAGCAACCGCTTCTCAACTGCGTGCCGATGGCCCGTGCGCAGGAACGGGTCTTGCAGTCCTGCCAGACACGCTCTGTGACACAAAACAGACTTTCAGGATTTAAACTCGATATCAAAATAGGTGCAATCCAACAGAGCTGCGTACAATCTGTGTTGAGATTGCACAAGAGCAAGGGCACGTACAGACCTCCGTAGATTCTTCAATGAAAAAGCCTGGAGAAGCCAGGCGCGCAAGGAAGCATCTTCTGTTAGCGACAACTTGTACTTACATTTAGGCCATATACTTGTAATGAAGCGACAAAGGAAATCAATGCTTTATAGCCCAGTGTTCACAATCGACCTACCGCAGAGACGCCGCCGGTTCCTTGATGTGCTGTAACAGATTCAGAGTCAATCTGTTCCACCAACGACCCCTGCTGCCAGCACCTAGCCGCGTCTTCTTTCTCTCACTGTACGCAGTAGGCATGAAAACACATAGACTATAGGGTCAGATCAAAGGGACACGAAGACATCGGCAGGCCTACCTCAGACACAATTACATCAGCCTGGCCGATAGAACTACCTACATACATAGCAACTGAAGTGGATTCAGAGCACGCGCCACAGGATTCAATGGGGATGTGCTCGAAATTCAGGTGGTCAAATATCCCGTGGGATTTATCATTCTCTCTCTAGGGAGAGAGAGAGAGAGAGGTGATCCCAATAGCACACTCACAGGAAACCCCGGGCACCACGACAGCACACGCGTACGCACTTTGCACAGAAGACTCCATCGTAGCGTTCGTGGCCCAGCAACCAGCTCAGCAGCAGAACACTCTCCTCGTAGAGCTTCTTCATCTCCATCACCTCCACACCCACCGCCAGGATCCTGGCATAGACCCACTGTGCTGTGTATATGCGTCGATAGCTGACTCCCTGCGCCACCAGATCGTCATATTCACTAGTCCACGTCTCCTGCGACGGGTTGGGTGCATTTTGCGATGATTTCAGCACATTTTGCGACGTCTTGAGCACATTTTGCGACGTGTTGGGTGCGCTAGACGACGCACTGAGGGTGCTAGCCGTGCGGTTTGCGGGCGTAGATATCCCTAGATTCTTCGCAGTCCTTCGCACAATCCGGAGCGCTTCATTGTGTTTCTCTGATAAAACAAAAAACGAAAACGAAATCAATTGAAGGCTGGGCCACCGATTGCGAGCCAATCCGAATGTACAATTCTAATACAAATGATACTCCAATGGAACAGACAGATAAAAAGCTCAAATCTAATAGGGCCTAGTGACATCACCAACTATCTTACACTCCCTTCACCACCATCACAGACGCACTGACGCACACTCTAACCACCTACTCACGTCGCCTTAAACCATACACAACTGCCAAAGGCAGCCGACTCACACGCCCGGACACCCCACCACAACCAACGACATACGGTGCTCGACTAAGTCATTCACATCGCGCTCGGCAATCAAAGCGTTGTGGTACTCAATGAACGCGTCTCTCATTGGGAATATCCGCCACTCCTCCATGCCCCGCAAGTTACTACCACCCGTGCCTTGTAAGCCACCGCCACTCGTGTCCAGCCCTATACTGCCCCCAGGCGCGCCCCCGTTGGTATTCTCTACGCCGGGATCGGCTACACTAACACTGGGGTGTAGCGTGGGCGGGGTGAGTTTGATACCGTAGAGTGGATCGTGTGATGTGTTTGCTATTTGCTTTGTACCCTCCGTGTCGGCGAGCTTAGATTGCGGACTGTTCACGCCTTTGGCCTACAGATCAAGGGGGTGGGATATCAATTGCCAGCATTATTAAGGCACGCAAAGGTACATATTATTTAGGCAGGCGTATAGACATTCTGCGACGATACACCAGGCGAATATACACAACCAAGCGGGGATAGACTACACTAAGGCTGAGTCCTGAGACGCAACTATGAGCCGCTGGCATGTAGTTGCATGCGAGAATGGCTTCCATAAATGATTCACAAAATTGCTACTCGGCTTAAGACAACTTGTGCCTCATTTCTCACAGGACTGTATGGTCTGACGCAAGAAGGATATCAAAACCATAGGAATAAACACCGAAGCATCACAGATAGATTCCTGATTCAAAAACAAAGCACGGGGATACTAGCGCATTGTGACTAGGAGAGGCAGAAGGAGCGTGAGGTATTCAATTTGAACACAAGCAACAGCTTGGGAAGGATTGCATGCTGACTCTTTCGATTAAACAAAAACCATGTTTTTTCCCTCGGATATTGTATAGTTATTGTGGCACATATGGATTCGTAGATCCATTACTAAACGAAAGCACAGATCCAGGTCACAAGACGAGTGCACAAGATAGATAAAAACATGCGATTCCAGTGCTAAGAGGACCAGCGACAGACAGTAGGAACCAGTATTTTAGACACGCAGGCATTGTGGGGACACCACATCAACAGATTAATATAAACGGGCAGCATACGGAGTGCGCGAAAGCACCTACAGGTACAGATATCCAGACCCAGATTGGATCCTACAAGGCTGAACAAAAGATACCAAATCACGTAACATGTCGTATTGCGAGATTCAAATTCACAACAAGGCCCAAGCTCCGCTCCGATCAAGTAAAACCCTGAAATACGAGGCACTTCAGCAAGTGCGAAAGCCTGCATACCGAGTAATGATACATCAGATTGGATTTGTCTGTCAGCAACAGAGCGGTGAGTGGATTGGGCTCCAACGGCCCGTTGTTGTGCACAAAGAAGAGCGTAAACACTCTGTCGATCACATCTTTGTGCGAAGCATTCAGACGCACACACCCGCCCGAACACGCGTCCTTGACCCATTGCAGCACAGTGCCTGTCTGATCGGCCACATGAAATAGGCTACGCGTGCTCCTGTAGTCAGAGAGAGCACACAGACACACACACACACACATCGAGATGGTAGTACAAAAGAGTGAAAGTGAGCGAGCGATACAGAATGAACGCGAAAGTGAGCAGGGTGTGGGATAGTTTGTACCATACGTACGCGAATGAGCACCACACACTGCCCTGTGTGGTCTAAAATGTATGTACATCAGCTGGGTGAATAAGAATATCGCACAAGACAGGAGCGTTGTACTAAGGCTATAAAGCACACGTCCGTTCATATATAAAAGATAATGGAATACTTTTAGTAGCGATATAGAATAGAAAAAATTCACTCACCGTTCACAGAGTTTAGCTGAACACAAAATGCTCAACACGACAATTCTGAGACAATTTAGTCAACCTTACGCGAAATACAAAGCATTTGCTAGTTGCGCAGATACACCAAACACAAATCTTCAACCAACTGGCGACCGGGGCTATGCTGGTCGCCTAGGCTGACATGCTCAAGTTATTAGACAACTTGCTACAAAGAACCAACACACAATACCTTACAGGAATAACAATGTCAGACATGCGGTCGTACTGAGTAGGAGATCTGGCAAGCAGCCACACGATGTCACACTAAGCCGCGCCCCAAATCAGACGGTGAAACCAACTTACGAATCAATCGAGCCCATTATGTGCGACGTAGTATCACAGCAAAGCGCACGCGCAGACTTCAAAAGATGCTTTGATAAGTGAATCTGCAGGCGTAGCCTGTACCTTACATGGTGCAATAGATTCCACTCTTCTGTTTTTTTTAGGCGTATCTTGTACCTTGCATGATGCAATAGCGCATCCACACATCGTGCGCGCACCGGCAGTCCGCTGGTTGCTTTGCGATGACGGATGTCCCTTTTCTTAAGTACCGCTTTTAATTCCGGGACAGTCAAGAGGTCCAGAGCTCGCTCGAGATCTCCAAGGCCTTGTTCCTGGGGAAAAAAATGAGCCAGCCATGATTGTGAATGCAAATAAGTCTATATGCACCTTGCATCATATTCAGGACACAATTGAAACGCACACGGCGGTGATGTTCAGATGTGCGTGTAGGATGAGGCTGCGAATGCTTGAAGTATATCTCCAGGGCACTTTATCGAGCGCTATGACAAGGAACCGCCGGGGCTTTCTTCTTATGATCGTTGAATTTTTACACTGAAGATAACGTATATTCACTCAGACACACAGTTATCGCACGAACAGATGAGTCCAAATACTGGACAAGTGATATGGCCACTACCTACCGAAACGGAAGAGTACAGTCAAAGGGGCCAAGTGCACATCAATATCAATCACATACACTCCGCTACAACGCACAGAGGAACCAGTCGTGGGTCTAAAGCACATACCGAGTGACTAAAGAACTGCAAGGAACAAAGCTCTTCGCACACTGTAGGTATGGGTGTGTCGATGTCTTTATACGACAGCTTATCGATCCGGATCCATCCATTCTTGCGCTGGAACACTCGCACATACAACTTCTGCGCTTCCGAGCTCATGGCTTCGGTGAAATGCTCGAAAACCAGTCGGTCATCGGAGGAGAACAGATGTGCGTGCGCTGTGCCGCCCAGTACTGCCTGTGAGCATAAGAAATCCAACGGTTTCCTCCAATAAATATGTATACAATTATGTATATGTGAAGATTGATTGCCCATACCACTTATACGAATATATACACAGCACATATGTAGATTTATATGTATGTACATTTGCGGATGTGCATTCATACGTACATACACATACGCGTATTTATGTACTTATCTATATGTATGCAAGTACAAACAAACACAGAAACACAGAAACACACACACACCCACCCAAAAACACACACACAATCCTATTATATATATGTAAATTAAACACATGTATATATATATACAAATATACATCCATACACACAAACTCAACCACACGTACACGTACACGCACACACACACACACACACATATATATATATATATATATATATATACTACGTACATACTACTACTATACATACATACATACTACTATATATAATATATAATATATATATATATATATATATATATATATATATATATATATATATACTATATAGTATATATACTACTATACGTA